TGGAATTACTGAATCTTGAGGATTGGTCCTAATGCACGGCCGTGGCGCTCGCTATGTGCGAGGCTCACGGCCTACGACCCTCCCTTGACCAATTCTGAACCTTACTGACTTAACCTGCTTCACATGAATATATGCATCAATTCTGTTCTGAAAAGGCAACAACCGCACATTACACACGAAAGGCCGTGGCGGACGCCCGTGCGCCGCCGACGGCTTGGTGCCGCCTCTCGGCCAAAATGTCTTTTTATCCGACAACTACCGAATCCCTTAACATGATTACTATACTGAAACTATTTAAGGGCCAATCACACGAACAAACATGCTTAGAATTGAAGGCGACGGCCCTCGGCCCGAGCCACCCGAGGCTACGCACGATAGGCGCGGGCGTCGGTTGGGCCATTTCAGCAACTATACTCCATCTATTCTCAACGAGCTGATTATACTGAACATAAATTGGACTAAACTGATCATTTAAATGATTATGGTTCGAGAGTTGCCGGAAGAAATTGAAACTTGTTCGGTAATAAAATTACTTAGGCATAAACGACTTAAGCACGGTTTAAATCTGAAATTCTCGACCATCATCCGAACACTTAACCTAGAAATAATTTAATTATCATGAACATGAGCTGAAGGGAAGGTACCTCTCCGATCGGTCGACGGAATCGGAAATAGGCGTGCTTATAGGCTCGTGCGGTTGCCGTGCGATAGCTCTCACTTTGCCGTGAGCTTGCGCTGGTCCTTGCCGTGCCCTTAGGTAGAAAATTTATGGAATTTGCTTAACTTTGGAAGCTGATGAAGAGAGGTATATACGCTGCGAAAGGCTTAAAGAAAAGATGGGAAAATTTTTCCTCCAACTCCTCCCTTTATACTTGCACGGAGATGATGGGGTGACGTGCGGCCAATGTGGCCTTTTTAGGCTCTTACACTTGCTTGAATTACATGAGTTGATGAGATGACTAAGCATCTTAATTGCTTGACAAGTTGCTAATGTTGGTTGGTCAATTCCTTTCCTTTAACTTAAGGAAACTTTCGGTTTTTGAACTTAAACTTGGGAAAAAAAATCTCATTAATCTCACGGCTTTAGGGCTTAATGTGGTGATTAATTTTAATTAATCACTTATCTTATGTTTAATTATTTAATTA